CTCTCTCTCTCTCTCTCTCTCTCTCTCTCTCTCTCTCTCTCTCTCTCACACACACACACACACACACACACACACACACAGATTAATATTTATCTGCTTTTATCCAGTAGTAGTCTCATAAAGTCTGCATTTTAAAATGGAGCAGTTATATTTCTTCAAATTGTCATCCATAGATTCCATATTGTGAAAACGATTACTTTCAGGTGTGCTGGGAATGTTGTGGCTGTTCAGAGTGAGGGCCTGCAGCCTGCACACTCTCAGAGGCACCCTTGCTTCTTGGGTTCTTGGCTGAATCTCCCTTTTCAGGAACCTACCTATCAGATCCATGTGATTTCCAGTGGGGAAACTGAATGAGAAAGGCAAGTTATCTATGTAACAAATACGTTCTCTATGTAACAAATACGCTCATCATGACTGCTCGGGATTTCCCAAGCAAATGATTCAATACCTAGAATCATCCAATGAGTTTCCATATCTCTGCAAATCATGCAGACCCAAACTGGATCTGTTGGAAAGAGTTGATACCATTGAAACATGAATAACATCCCTTGACACCATAGTAGCATCCCTGGACGCCTTAAAAGAAAGATTATCCAACCTTGAAAAAAAAGACACAACGCAAAAACCTGAACATCCAATAGCTACAAACCACATCTCTACCAAACAACTACAACCCAATCCACAAAAAAACATAAGCCAGACAAATAATGATATCCAAATCCTCATCAGAGAAGCTGTTGAGCGTGAACAGAAATGTCCAAACGCCATCTTATTTGGTCTAGAGGACATCAATGTCAATGATGACATCACAACTGTCCGAAACATCATCAGTGATTATCAAGCATCAACCATCTCCGCTGATGAAATACTTGACATTTCCCACATTGGCTGAGAGCTCAAAAACAAAGACGGGTCTGTGGTCCCACGCTTCTGCAGGGTCATTTGCAAAAATGAATCAAGCAAACATAAATTCATTTACACTATAAATTCACTCGCCAAACTCAACACCAACCATAAGAACCTCCGTTGTTGCCCTGACCTAACCATACAGCAATGTGCCCGCTCCCGTGTACTCTGCACTGAACTCAAAAAACGTCTAGACAATGGAGAGAAGGACCTGTACATTGACTACCATGCTGACTGTATCAAAAGTAAGTCACACAACCTGCAACTCGGCTTTAACCCTCAACCACAACCCTACCTCAACCGATCCACCATCACCCAAGACTAGGCATGCACGCCCTTAACTACCTCAATTCCAACTATTGCTGGCCTTAAATGCAAACTACTCAATGCAAGAAGCCTTGCGAATAAAATACCTGAATTTCTCCTCTTACTAAATATGGCTAAATTTGACATCTTATTTGTCTGTGAAACATGGCTCAATGCATCTCTCCCTGACTCCATTACCACAGTAAGAGACTATCGTGTTTACCGATCAGATCGTGAAATTCGTAGAGGAGGTGGTGTTGCTATCTTCTATAAAAAGTCCTTACATCTAAAAAACATCCAAGTTACCCAGGAACTTGCTCTTCCTGAGACCATCATCTGTGAACTATCCTTAAATACCACATTTCGATTCTTACTATGTTATAGAGCACCTGATTATGACATCGAACATGTAAACAAGCTAAATACACTCCTAACATGGGCAGCATCCTGCCCACACGCTTTTATCTTTCTTGGTGACTTCAATCTACCTCATATTGACTGGACCCTAAATGAATGTACAACTGAATCCCTACACGCAACCTTCTACAATGCTGTTACAAATCTGGGACTGGAACAACTAATAACCAACAACACTAGACTAAACAACTGCCTCGATCTCATCTTCTGCAATAGTTTGAATTTAATTTACAGAATACAAACTAAAGAACCCTTTTCCAGCAGTGACCACAATATGATTGACTTTTGTCTCAACATACGCCCACACAAAAATCATCACAATGACATAATCCCCAATTATAACTTCAAAAAAGCCAACTATGATCTTATAGACCAGTGATCCCCAACCTTTTTTATGCCGCGGCCCGGTACCGGCATCAGCTGGCTTTCTACCCGGAAAAGCTCACCGGAAGCGCTGGCAGCGCCATCTTTTTTTGATGAAAAAGTGCTTCCGGTGAGCTTTCTACCCGGAAAAGCTCACCGGAAGCACTTTTTCATCAAAAAAAGATGGCGGCACCCAGCAAACCAGCGGCCCGGTAGGACTTGTTCCACGGACCGGTACCGGTCCGCGGACCGGTGGTTGGGGACCCCTGTTATAGACAACGATCTCTCATCCCTTGATTGGCAATCTCTATTCACTGGATGCAATACTGTTGAAGACCATTACAACATATTTTTACTTGAAGTCAAAAGAGTCATCAAACTATATGTACCAACAACAACTCCCAAAACAAAAACAAAAAAACAGATTACCCATAACAATAAGGAAACTTCAATCCAAAAAGAGATCACTCTGGCGGAAAAACAAATCAGGTCACGTTGCCAATTTCAAAATCCGATACTAAAATTTATGCCACCAGATAAAGACTGAATGCACCGATTATCACATTAAACAAGAGGAAAACCTTCCACCTACACTTTTTACAATTTTGTAAACAACAAACTAAAAGACTCAAGGTCCATCCCACCCCTGAAAGGACCTAATGGTAAAGACTGCAACGACGACACCATTAAAGCCAACATCTTTAACACATTCTTTGGCTCAGTATTTGTAAACAGCAATGGATCATGCCCAGTATTTCCTAGTTGAACCACAGACAACTACAATGATCTAATACATATCGATTTTACAGTAGACAATGTTGAAAAGGCACTACGCAATCTAAAACCATCTCTATCTATTGGACCGGATGGAATATGTGCCTACTTCTTTAAAAAGCTATCCACTGCCATAGCTGAACCTCTAAGCATAATCTTTGAAAAATCTTTCAGGACCAGCTCCTTGCCTAACCTATGGTCACAAGCCATGGTCATCCCCATCTTCAAAAAGGGAGACCCCAGCCTAGTTGAAAATTACAGACCAATCTCCTTATGCTGCGTCACCTGTAAAGTCATGGAATCAATCATTAACCAATCCATTATCCTCCACTTAGAGACAAACAACCTACTCTCCAATAAACAATTTGGTTTCAGGAAAAAACTATCCTGTAATCTGCAACTCTTACACTGCAAAAACATATGGACTACACAACTCAATCAGGGCAAAGCAATAGACGCAATCTACATAGACTTTTGTAAAGCCTTTGATTCAGTGGTACACGACAAACTACTCCTAAAACTAAAATCTTATGGTATCTCTGGACAATTGCATAACTGGGTAGAAGCATTCCTGTCAAACAGACAACAAATGGTCAAAATTGGGAGTGTTGTTAGGGATATACCCTAGCAGAATGTGCACAGCAGTCAGGCAGTCAGGCGAATATGAGAGAAAGTGTTTTTTAGTTTAAACACTCAGTAAAAACGGATACACTGCCTTAGTTGAATAGTTTATTCCATTAAGAGTTTAGCAGGGTCAAACAGTCCAAATATCATTCACTAGTGTTCAGTCAGTTCAGTCCGGAGATTGTTCAATTGCAAAAATCCAGTGTCAAAAAAAAAGGTCAGTTAACTTACAATGTCAATCCATCAATCAGTCCAGTAAATATCTTCTCACAGTAGATTAGATATGCAGCATTCAAAACTCTTTCCTCCTTCGACG